AGAAGTAGTGATGGGACTACTCGAATGAAAATTATCGATTATATCGATTATGAAAATCTCTCGAGATATCTCGAGTGATCATATAAATTCATTCGATTATTCTTAGACGAATGACGAATGACAGTGGCCACAGCATTACTAACGTCAATCGTCACTCGTCATCACCGAATAACGCAAACGCGCTGCTCGAGCGAGAGCACAGGTGTTTCGATTATTCCAACGCTCTAACGAGCTACAAAACCTCGAGATAAGACGGCCGAGAGCATGGATGAGACAATCGATTATCACCGCATAAAAAAGACATGCAGTATTTTTACGAGTAGCATCGCGCGGTTTTGAAGGGCGGTTTAGAAGGGAGCTTTATTTAGCAAGAATAGAAATTCATATGAATGAAAATAATACAAAAATTATGTTTTCTGTATAATAATTTTTTTTTCAAAAACCCAAACAATGGATCTCTTTATGCGGGGACTACTCATTTTAAACACATGCTGATGAACCACTCAACTGACAACGAAGAAATGCCGCAATACGCGAGTCATTAATTTCGTTTTTTTTCGCATATAATTTTTGGGATAGGTCGGAAATTTTGGAAGTGGACTTTCGATTATATATCATTCGAATGATCATTCGATTATAAAATTAATTCGAAAGGTAACCTCTCGATTATTTATTTCATTCGATTATTTCCATCATTCATATGAATGAAAATAATACAAAAGGATACCAGATCTTTTCAGTTATCAGATGACAAACAACAAAAATAAATATTTTTAGAGGAAGAAGAAAAGTAACAGATAACTTGTAACCATTAGAAAGTAAGGTTAGACTTCAATAAGCTGTTTCGTGATTTGAATAGTTGCTTTCGATTCAACGGACAACTGAAGAATAATAACTGAAGTGAGGTAAATAAATCACTGATCTTGTCTTAGGTAAATAATAATAATAATAATAATGTCTTTATTTCCAAAAGAAAAATAAAAGTCATTCAGCACAAAAATAAAAAGGTTATCCATAGTTTTGGAAATCTCAAGGGGAAGTTCACAATAATTGTGCTCTACCACTTAACCCTTGAATACCATATATCTAATATATAAAGCACCGTAGTCAGTATTACATCACAGTAAACATATAAATTACAACAATAATAACAATAGTAGCATTAAATAAGTAACATACCTAAGAAAATAACATTGTCCTAACACATTTTTTGAACTTTGCACAACTAATATATCCTGCACCGAGTGTGACGCTGTTGTACAAGCGGTATATATTGTATTTAAAACCTCTCTCAAAAAAAGACGTTTTATGTTGAGGAGGGCTGAGTAAACCTTTGGATCTAATATTAATATTATGCACATCACTGCGAAATACAATTTTGTTATATAGATAAGGTGGAGTCTTAGTAAGTAAAAGTTTATGAAAGAAACAAAGTGAGTAAAGTTTTCTCCGTTTGAACATATCCAACCAGCCAAGTTCATGCAACTTATGCGATACATGATCAAATTTACGAATACCAAAAATAAAACGTATACACGCATTTTGAACGCGTTGGATGAGGTTGCTGCTGTCAAGATCTAGGCAAGGTCCATATACAGGGGCACAAAATGAAAACTGGGATAATATCAATAGGCTTTTTTTCGCGAGTGAAGTCGTATGTTGTAGTATGTGTAGTATGAGTGAATATTACGTTTTTGCGAGAATAGTCAGTCATTTAAACTACTATGTGACGTCACCAGTTTAGATCAATGACTGAACTCTTCACCCTTCAGCTGAATATTCTGTTAGTATATTCAACTAGTATTGTCAGCCGGTAACTTAACCTTTTTCTTTTTGACATTTTGTTTGAATGAGGATAAAAATCGTTCAGCAAAATGATGGATTCTGATACGGCTGTGGAAGTGGTCAGTTTAAATTTAAACTTTAGAGGCACAGATGTTTTAGTAAACGTAGACGTTGAAACAGCAAATATTTTACTTAATGGTCGTAAGATTAACTTTTTATATGGGACATATTTGCGATCCACTTTGCTTCAGGATTATCCTCTTTTTATTTGTGACCTAGGCCAGAGATAATATTGGTGGAATCATTTGTAATTCAGGTCTTTTTCGTATGAATTACATAAAAAACCGACCTAACCTCTTTCTAGTTTAAATTTTTTATATAAAAAATTTAAAAACATATATGGGGAGGCTTGAAGCCATATGTCAAAGTCGTCAAAGTACATATGACAGGCTGCACCACTGAATAGTGAATATATACATTTTCGCGATCTGTTCAGGTTAGACAAGGTTAGAAATAAGATTAAAAAGAGATAGAAACAGTAACTAGTATTCACCAATATTCACTCGCGAAAAAAAGCCTAATGTCCACAAAGCATTCTCTTAGTATTTATATTTAGATATTTACGATGGGGATATAGAAATGACGTAAACACAAATAGAATGAATAGCTGCTTTCCAGTTGCCGGGAAACTGCTACTAAAGTGTTCTACTGTTCTACTATTTAAATACTTCAAACTTAAACAACTGGAGAACTGGAACACCTTAGAGAAAAACATGAAAAAGTGGTGGGGGAATCAAACAGAAACAACTTTGAGTAGCTGAACCAGCTTATTGAATGCAAAAAGTTAATCTGAACTGTTCCTGAAGTGCTTTCAAAGTACATTTTTTGTCCATTGGAATTATTGGAAATCAGCTAATGGCTCAACTGAGTCAAACTTGTTAACCTAAATTTTTGTCTTTAAATTTATATACACTGTTTTGTTTATGTTTATAGCAGTTATCATATTAATTAAATGTCAATCATTACTTGTTTATAATATAATTTAATAAATACCCATGATAATACTGAACTATGAACTGTAAACAGGCATACATCTCTCATTAACATCACTTGCTTTTTTCATTCGATATTTAACTGGAATAACCCAGGATTGGCATATTTCGAAAAATTGCGTTTTATCATCTGTGATACCTTCTTTAACATGTATTTAACATAAAGATGAAGATTTCACACTTGAATAACCAACCCATGGTTAATTGATTGTTAATCCCTTTTTACTGTGTTAGTCAAGATAACCGGCCATATATTAGCATTTGAAAATAATGAAAATATAAATCAGGTAAATGTTTTCCCTGTTTATTAATGTGATTATAAAATTGGTGAAGTTAGCTAGAATCAATTCTTGCTCTTTGTTTTATTTCTACGAAAGGAACACACCTTTTTATACTAAAATTCATCAATGTAGAAGAGGAAGAAGACAACTATGCGACAATCTGTTTTGTGGCGACAATTATTGAGAAGTGAGGTTAGATTGGTCCATGCAATTTTTTTTACGTCGCGTCGACGCGAGTGGTATTTTTTATCAAATACGTTAAATAAATTGAGTTTAGATTAAGTAAATTACTTTACATAGAGATGTATGGTTTTTTTTATCGACTGCTTACCTGTGTCTCAACCAAGGAGCGTACGGGCTGCTATTGTCAATGGCTTGTGTGTCAGAAAGAGACCCGTCGCTGGCTTTAGGCCTGCCTTGTCGCATGACGAGGCCGTAGTCTTGGTGGCAGGCTCCCTTTGGAAGACTTTGAGAGCCCATCATGAGCCGTTCTCTCACCGACTGGCTGAGCTGGTTGGCCGCATTTCCTGTCAGGGAGTAACTTTTGAACTGGGGAGGGCTAGCTTCTAAAACGAACACTATTTTTTATTTATTTTTGAACAAATTGGAAAAAGACAATTAGTGGATATTGGTGGATTTAATCATTATCAGTTAAAAACGAACGAAAACATTACAGGTAAAATTAACCGTTTCAAAAATGGTTGACGCAGCTAGTTAGTACAGATAAAAATCAGCAATTTATTTTTAGAAAAACTAAGTTTTTAAGAATATTGAAAATAAAACGAATTTTATGAAGCAACAGAGAAATTACATTTTCATTACAAAAATCAATATTTTCCTGTATTATCAGAAAAGTTAGGAATAGGTAATAAATTTAAAACTTTTTTAGAGATCATACTTCTCTATATTTTATGAACTATTTTCGTCAAACTCGTTCAGATAATGTTTAAAACAAAAAAAATTGCATTTATGGTAAAAATATACAGTGCGTCCCAGAAGCAACGCAAAAAATTCGTATTTTATTTTGTGTTGCGTTTTCACAAAAACGCTAAAACACGTCAATTAGTAAATATTAATTGTCATTTTGTCACGTTGCTCAAACCTTTTTTGCGCTATGTTTCATAAACCTATGACTTCATTGATATTTTTTTTATATAGTACTTACTAGGTACCTAATTTTTTAAGCATAAATGGATGGCCCTTTTGAAGGGAAATGCGTCGATATAGGGTTTGGCCTACTTTACTTTGACAGGTGCGAAAAAAGCCAACGATTGGAATGGACATGGTTTAAAATAACAACAAAAGTATGTATCATAATCTGATGCGAGAACAGTGCCACGGCAAAAAATGGGAATTTGTAGATGTTTTGTGTTTTGGCTGATTGTAGGTACATGTTTTTATGTATTAATATGTTGGCATTTTCGGCGACAGGACGAACGGCAGTGTGTGTGGATTTTCAGTGACAGCTAAACATAACATTTTACCTATCATTTTCAGTCACTATCGTTGGCCTTCCAGATCTAGACAGATCTCTAACATGTCCAGCATCTTCAAATTTGCGTACTTATCTACATACAGTAGACGGAGGTAATTGGTTGTTCTGGATACTTGCCGTTGAATAATTGACATACTTCATCATAACTACGGATCCTATCTCCATATCCAACCATAATTAGGATTCCAATTCTTTGTTTCTCACTTAAACGCAACACCATCGTAATGTAAAGTTATGGTATTTGTAACTGTCACAATGATATGGAGACACTATTGCATTCGCTAACTGTCGTCATCAAAACAATACCTAGCCGCTGTGATCGGGTGTACCTACAATCAACCAAAACACATTTTTTGCTGGGGCACTGTTCTCGCATCACTTTGTGATACCTACTTTTGTTGTTATTTCAAACCATGTCCATTCCAATCGTTGGCTCTTTTTCGCACTTGTCAAAGTAAAATAGGCCAAACTCTGTATTGACGCATTTTTCTTCAAAAGGGCTATCCATTTATTAAAAAATTAGGTAGTGCTATTAAAAAAAAATGTCGATGACGTCAGGTTTATGAAACATAGCGCAAAAAATGTTTAAGCAACGTGACAAAATGACAATTCCTATTTACTAATTGACGTGTTTTACTGTTTTTTGGGAAAACGCAACACAAAATAAAATACGATTTTTTTGTGTTACTTCTGGGACGCACTGTATAGTAAAATAATAGCACCCATGTAATCTATTTTTGTATGACAACCAGTTCAGGCATGCCTAATTTTTAAAATATAACGATTTTTTTTTAAATATTGGTACACGCAACTGGTTGTATGAAGTGTGACACTGACAGTGCCTCAAATTTGATAGAAACCCAGAGATTTATTAAAAACGGAAAAAAACTGATAATTAATTAAATCAGATTTTTGGTATCTTAATTTGTTTTCGAGTTATAGGGCAATTGAGTTCTAAGTAATAACTGCTTTATATGAACTTGTGTGATATAAAAATATATATTTTTTCAAAGGAAATGTCAAATAAGGTATCTTTAATTTTTTGATAGAAACAGTTGAAGTCGTAGTAAATTTATTTTTATTAGTTGCCATAAATCTAATAAAAATAGAATTTTCAATTAACAATGTTAAATTATTATCATTTTTGGTGGCCTACTAAACAGATTATTATCATAGTAAATTATTTCAAATTAAAAATTATAGTATACAATCTTTATAAGCCATATTTGTAAAAAATAATCATAATAAAAATTAAGTTTGCTTTACAGCTCTATAACCATGTAATTCACTGAAAACAAAGTGACTAGTCGATTCTACGTCAACCAATTCATATGGATGAATTTTACTTTAATTCTAACCAATCTAACAGTGGAGATATCAAATATCTGACTTGTAGTTAAATTTATCTCGAAAATCCAGTAAGAATATGTCGTTGATGTTTTTTATATTCTTCAATTAATAGATCGATTCACATTCTTGGTGTTAATCGCATGTGATAAACGGTACTTCCTAAAGCACATTAAATAAGATACTAAATATTTAATTTATTATTAAATTTATTTATTTTTGGTCATGATCATGAACTGAATGTAAAATTAAATTGCCAACTACAGCTAAATTTTAAATTAAAAATATTTTTTTTCAAAATTTTTGTTATAAAATGAAAATGTAATTTTTGTAGTATAAAGCACTGAGAGAAAATAAATGTGAAAAATGAAAATAAAAATTTTTGATTTCTTTGTAACAAAGGATGGACTTGAGATAACTGATTCAGCTAAAAAATAATTTATGGGTCACTAAAGAAAATTAAAAACTGAAATCTATTTTATCAGTTTTTTAGAACAATGAAAAGTGTATTAAAAAGGGAAAACTTAGCTAGACCGAACATATATTTTTTTAACACTTACTGTGAGACTGCTGGAGATCGCTAGAACAAGTCTGAGTTCCTCCCGACACTTTAACTTTAGTCCTGGGAACTGCGGACACAGCTGCTGTTTTCCCCGATAGATTTTGGATCACTGGAAAGGAATAGATAACTTTTATTTTATCCCACCTGTTGTCTGCTCACGGGTTCATTATTCTTTCATAAATAAATTGTGGGCAGGCTTAATGCAAATGAACCCAGTTGTGGTGACACGTTGGAAATAAATATTTATGTTATCATATAATTAATGCAATTTCTAAAAATCTTTTGTAATAACTGCAAGATAGTACTGGAATATCTTCCTGATAATGTGCAATGTCAAGCAAAGTATCAGTAGATAGGAGTAGGAAATGTTTCATGTACTGGTTTCATTTAAAGAAAATATTATGCGTGGTACTGATATGTTGGTGTTAAATGACACAAGGTTATCAGTCTTGAAATAGGGAAACCTGTTTGTATCAGTCGATGCATATAGTAATGACTTCTTTTTAATTAATTTCTTCAATGTTTCAATCTCATTTTTTAATCGACACTAAAAATTGTTATCTTGAATATACCACAATACGAGACATGTGCTTTTTTGTATTTTTTTTAGTATGTTATCCTTTAGTAAGTATAATAGAGAGATATACAGGGAGTCACTGCGTTCCATGCTACTAGCAATCATTCCTTGGGTCAAAATAAGATGATTTAGTCCAACTTACTACCTATGTATAAATGTCCTCAATGTCTATTGAGATATAAGCTTTCTCAATGTAGTACCTACCACAAAACGTTTTATTATATAAATTTAAAATGAGTTATGCTTATTTGACACACATCTTTATTTATATGAATCTGATATATTATTTGAACGTGTGAGAAAACTATATACAAGGCGATATTTTTTTGGAGTCCTCATCCTGTTGACCACCCCATAATTTTTTTTATCTGCAGGGTGTCAGGGAAAATGTGGAAAATCTCTCGGGTGCAGATAGAACTTGAAAAAATAAGATGACAAGTTTCTATAAGATATACGTGTCCTTGGAGGACATCGCTGGAAATCGGTTTTTCTTGAATAACTTTTAAAGTACTTCATATAATTTAATAAAAATTTATGTGATGGACACTAGTAAGGACCTCCTAAAATAGTTCCCTTGAAACATATTTAGCTTTTTTGGTTTACCAGGGGTAGGTTAAGCTTTACAACTTAATGCCTACATTTTTAACACTGTATGATAAAGACTTTAAAATAATAAATCTGGGTAGTTCAACCTTAGACTAAAAAAAGGTACTCTTGTTTATTGTCGATAAAATGAACCGTTTACGAGAAAAAGAATAATAAAACACAAACAGGAAAGTTTTATTTTAAGATGTTTAATCCGAAAAATACAAAATTAAAAAAAACGCAATGGTGTCCCAGGAGGCACCTTAACGAAATTATTGAAAAACTTCAGAGAGGGTTCAACATGGGCTCCGTGAAGTCTGATACACTCACGGGCACGACGAATTAAGGACTGTTGTACCCGTCACAATAACCCAGCATTGTTCCTTATCACATCACAATGAAACGTGATTCTCTGTAGAAGTTCCTCCCTAGTGTCGACCGGAGTAGAATACACCAAATGTTTGAGGTATCCCCACAGGTAAAAATCCGGAGGCATTAGGTCGGGAAATCGAGGAGGCCAGGCAATAGGTCCTCCTCTACCTATCCAATGGTTTGGATATACATTATTCAGGTGCTCCAGCACACCAATGCTGGAATGAGTTGGTGCCCCATTGTGAATGATGTACATTTTTCGACGGGTTTCAATTGGTAAGAGTTCTATTAAATCTTGAAAAGCGTTCTGGAGGAACTCCAAATAAAGTTGTCCTTTCAATCGTTCCGGCAATACGAATGGTCCAAAAAAAATAAAAATTGCCAATAATTACTGCCCAGATGTCAATTGTTTGGAACTGATGTGGACGATGCGAAGCAATATTGGCATGAGGATTTTCAACAGCCCATGCATACATGTGTGTTGTGTAAATTGGTGAGACCATTTTCGGTAAATCTTGGTTCATCCATGAAAAGAATAGTGTTAATAAAGTTTACATTATTTCATTGTTGATCTAATAGCCAGTTTGCAAATTGCATTCTACGAAGAAAATCTTCAGGAATCAATTCATGTATTTTTTGCAAATGCTTGAAGAACTTCATGTACTATTGCTTTCGAAGTTTTAAACTGTGTTAATAATTTTCAAGTGCTTGTTGATGGAGTGTCTTCTACAGCAATTAAAATATTTTCCACTAATTGCGGCGTACGTACGGTTCTCCTCAGACCAACATCAGTAGGTACTATTTTTTCCAAATTTTCCTGCAAATATGAACAAAGTCAATAATATGTATTACCTTATTAACTGGAATTGCCCACCATTCTCTCTTAGACGTTGGTCAACACGTTGAAATGTCTTCTGGTTTGGCAGAGCACGATTAGGAAATCTGTCGTGATATAACCTTCTGGCTTGTAAAGCATTACAAGACGCAAGACCATACATGAGATGCATAGAGGCATGGCCAGAAGTAGAGAATAAAATCCATATCTTTTGAATGAGTAAATTTTTTTTAAAACGCCGAAACATGTTAACTGATTTTGATTTTTTCCCATCTTTCGGTTATATAATAATTAATTTTTCTTCAACCCCCTAACCCCCAGCTACCCCTACTTTTTTTTTCAAATGGAAACATAAGGCATGAGGGGGCTCGTTGAAAAGCTTATAGAAAACCGAATCCAGCCATACCAAATAAACAAGTTTTATTTTTTCAATAACAAGTTTTTTTTCATTTAGAAATTGAAACAACTAGATAATTTACAAAAATAAACTCAATGTCGCAAATGCTGAAAATGTCCTCCATTCACTATTTGGCATTCTCCAAGACGATAGTAAAAGCTGTCCACAGCATTCTGAATGACTTCAGCTGGTAAATTATGCATCTCCGCCCTAATCTTGTTCTTTAAATTCTCAATATTATCCGGTCTGTCCTGGTAGACTCTTTCTTTCAAATATCCCCAAAGAAAATAATCCAGGGGTGTTAAGTCGGGGGATCTTGGCGGCCATTCAACTGTACCCCGTCTACCAATCCAGCGATTTGGAAACATTTCATCTAAGTATCTTCGAACATCAATACCAAAATGTGGGGGAGCGCCATCTTGTTGGAACCAAATTCTTTCATTCGGTATATCTGGATCAATTTCATGAGGGAAAATCACAGCTAGAGCAGGTATCAGGTCAAATGTTAGGAAATCCAGGTAGCGTGCGGCAGTAAGATTTTCTTCAAAAAAGAATGGGCCCAAGATTCTGTTGTTGATGATACCTGCCCATACATTAACTTTTTGTGGATGCTGCGTATGCGATTCGCATGTCCAGTGTGGATTTTCCTGGGACCAAAAGCGATAGTTGTGCCTGTTAACCACTCCATTTAAATAAAACGTAGCTTCATCCGAAAAAAGTACGTCTCGTTGAAAACCATTATTGTCGTCACACCGTCTCATCATTTCCTCACAAAATTGTAATCGCCTATCATAATCGTCTTCCAAAAGCTCTTGGACAAGACATACCTTATAGGGGTGGTATTTCTCTTGTTTCAGAAACATTCGAATTGCAGTTCGAGAAGCATCGTGATTGCGGGCCAATGAAACAGTTGAAGTATGAGGATTTTCAACAAGTTCTAATGCAATGTCTAATTTCTTTTCTTCATTCAAAGCACGTGCCCGTCCAGTTTTGGGCAAAGTCTGTACTGTACCGTGTTCCTCAAATTTGTGAAATATTTTACTAACTGTCCCTTGCGAGATTTGGTTTTCGGGATATTTCGCATTAAATAAATCGCGCACTTCAGCCTGACTTCTTATTTTGTCTCCACATCCAAGCAATATCAAGATTTCGATGTGTTGCCTTTCCGACAATACCATTGTGATTCAGTAAATAACTTGATTTTGACACAATAGTAAAGTTTCAAACTCCAATTTACAACTAAAGCGAAAAATTAACCAGAAAGCCTGGCAAGTAAGTAGTACCAAAAAAAAAACGCAACATAAAAAATATATCTTATCTGGAAGATAACGCTGAAGATAATTAAATTTTATTTCACTTGTTAAGTAGGTGTTTTATACAACCCAAAAAACCTTGCTATTGAAAAAATAAAACTTGTTTATTTGGTATGGCTGGATTCAGTTTTCTATAAGCTTTTCAACGAGCCCCCTCATGCCTTATGTTTCCATTTGAAAAAAATGTAGGGATAGCTGGGGGTTAAGGGGTTGAAGAAAAATTAATTATTATATAACGAAAGATGGGAAAAAATCAAAATCAGTTAACGTTTTTCGGCGTTTTTAAAAAAAATAACTCATTCAAAAGATATGAATTTTATTCCGTACTTCTGGCCATCCCTGTATATACATACTCAATAAATGTGTATTCCATATTTCGAATTAATTCACAATTAAATTCACAACGAAATCCAAAAATCGGTAAATCAATAACGAAGTAAACGATCAATGTGTCAGCGATGTTGATCGAAAAAAAAAATAGAAATCATGACCCTTTTTATTTAAAATAAAACATGAATAATCCGTTTATTATTATTTTTCTCGTAAACGCTTCATATTATCAACAATAAACAAGAGTACCTTTTTTATAGTCCAAGGTTGAAGCTATCCAGATTTATTATTTTAAAGTCCATTAAGTTTAGAGGGTGTTCAAAATTTAGACACTAAATTGTTTACAACTTAGTGCCTATTTTTTTTTTAAGCTTTAGCTTAGCCTGCCCCTGGTAAACTAAAAAAGCTAAATATGTTTCAAGTAGGTACATTATTTTAAGAAGTACCTACTACAATTAATTTCTAATTGATTTCTGTAATTGTGATGTGTAAGTATGTAAAAAAGATTTTATATTTTTGTATTTATTATGTTTAACAGTTTTTGAAAAAGTAAAAACTCAAGAATAATAATTTCAAAATCAAATACTTTAAAAATTTGTCAAAATTAATAATTATTATATAGGTTAAAAAATTAAACATAATTTCACTTTACTAATTTAAAAAATTATATTATATTATAACCTTGTAGGACCTAAGGATGATGTGAAAAATTTGACCTCGAAACCGGTAGTCTATTGTATTTTAAAAAATAAAAGGATTGTGAGAAATTGGACTTTTCTTATTTCTAAAATAAATTATAAAAAATTCTAAATTAGCAAATTTGTTTGTGAGAAATATTTTAATAAATAAATAAAATAAAATCGCCCTCACCTTGGACAGTCTGCCCGTTGCCGTTGTTGGTCCCGTTGACCCCGTTACCGTTGCGTTTCACATATCCGAAGCTCTGGGGCACCCCCCTGACTCCCTTGCTGCTCTTTTCTTTGCCGCCGCCGTGGGGGCTGCTCCGTCTCTCCCTGCGCCCCGCGGTAGGACTGGACGGTGCGGGGGCCGGCGGGGGCGGCGACCCCACTCCCGGGGAGTCCGTGTACCTCTTCCACTGCTGGCCGCCGTGTTTTGAGTCCTGCAGGGGGACTCCGTTGCGGGAGGACTTGGAGGTGACCCGGGGGGCAGGCGGGGGAGGGGGCGAGTCCCGGGACCCGCCCCTCCTGCTGGACTGCTCTGTCAACACGGTGAGGCCGGGGCCGAGACGGGGTGTTCTGGAAAAAAATCGTGATTAGTTACTTTATATTTGAGAGAAAAAAAAATGAAGGTCTTTTTGAGTGTGGGTGTAAATATTTTGAATGTACGAGAAATTTTTCGTAATTTTCAGACGCCAAATAAAAGCTTTTATTTTTTTCTTTTTTGTTAGGAATTGCTGGGAATTCTTTACATTTTAAGATCCAAAACCATAAAAAAAGACTCCTAACAGTAGGCAATATTTTAAAAATGTTTTTAAACGATTGAAAAAAGGTTTACAATATTTTCATTGTTACTATAATATCGTCAAAATATTATCGATAACACTAAAAATATTGCAAAGTAGACGACTCACATAAATGGGGGAATTATTATTTAAAAACAGACTAAACCAGATCCCCCGATGGGCAATAGTAGGAGTTTACAAAAATTAACTCCTAGGTAATACAGATATAGCATTCCCTCTTTCAAAAACCACAAGACATATGGACAAAGATAAGTAACCCGAAGTGAATTTTCGTAATCCGCTAATGTCTTCTTTACAACAGGTACTTTCGTGTACAACTGTGTCTTGAAAATAGTAAACTATACAACTAGATAACTAGACAAATAGTAAAATGTATGATCTGCACTTTCGTTAGCAGCATCATACGATGTTTAGTCGTTTATATCAGCGTCTTAGTGAAATCGGACGTTCTAAAAAACGTACCGTTGAAAATGGGCACCCTCAAACTCTTGGATGAACAGGTGCATAACGAAGTCGAAGATAGCCTTACAATAAGCATTAGGAGAGGATTGCTCACACATTTATCTTTAGTCATTCAACAGCTTTCATATTCAGCATGTACAAGCACATTTAACAGATGATTTTCCACGTACGGTGAATCTGTGACGTCGATGGATACAAGAAAGAATAGAGTAGGTATATTCCTAAGTTGACATAATGAATTTTCATAACATATGGACTATGAAATAACAAAAAAATGTCGGAGACTTTCTGACTGCCTCATTCTTTCTTCCGAGGGTTGATTATAGACATTTGTTGCATTTCTTGAGTAGAATTTGCCAACACTGTTTGAAGAATTTTATTAAGACAATATGTGCAACCCATTTCAGTATTTTGATGTTGCATATCCAAATCGTTGAACATGTAGAGGAGGAGCACAACCTCCACGGCTCCCAGACTTAAACCTTGTCTACTTCTTTTTCTGTGGACATCTTAAACAACTGATTTATACGACTCCAATTGTTTTTAGTAGCAAATAACAAGAAGTAAATATCTAGTTGAAGCTCTCTCACAATCGGATTATTAGATTGAAGATGATATCTATTTAGATGCGCCTTTATTTTTTTTGTATTATAACATTCAGATACCTATAATTTATTATTCGTGTGTACCTAATCAGTTTTAGCTCCAGTATAGGCAGGTTAATTTTAAATTTCCAAGCAATATGAATACCACAGTTTTATTAATAGTTTTCTTCTCTGTACACGTAAATGTTTACCGTTGTAAAACTCTTTTACAAAATGCTTTTAATCTGTAACCGAGTCTGTAACGCAACGAGTATAAAGAAAAAAAAACATCCACCATCCATGTAGTTATTTTCTTGGAATAATGCTTTTCATTTCTTTTTATTTTTACTTTTGTGTGGCATCCTGGTAGACAAATACTACTGTGTTTCGTACTGCTTGAAGAACAAATATAAACATCAACCTTTCTGGCATAAAATTTGTTTAGCAAATGACTTTGTTTACTCCAGGTTACTGACGACAAGAAATTAAATTTGTAATCTTAATTTGCAGTTAAGTGTCACATTTACTTTCAAGTTAATTTAATGGATTTCTGTTTTCACGAAACCCGATTCTTTTACATTTCACGAGCTCTGCTCCCATAAAAAATATATTTGTATGATAATGAACAGCTGCCCTTACTTTTCCCGAGTCCTACGCGCTTTAATAAAATTGACAAGAGACGTAGCGATGTTCAGACATGGATTTATTTATTTAAAGAGCAAGAGCAAAAAGGAATTATATTTTTTCGACTACTATCCTTAACGAAACAAACAACACATATTCTGGACGTTGCATCATCTCTTCTAAACAAAATAAAGTTCATCAAAAGCACGTAAGTAATTGAAATGTTCCTTTGGAAAAAGAAACAAAGTACTTCATCTCTTTCCTCCATTCTGTTACATTCTTTTGAAACACAGCTTTGAAATAAACAAAAAGTACGAGGTAAATATGTCTCAGAAATGGAGGAAAACCTTCAAAAGCCAACCACAAGCCGCTGGGAAAACGTTTTAAAGTATACAAAAGAGAGTAGGTACATACTTTGTATTGTAAAATGAACATACACAAAAGTATAACATATATTGAAGGTGTAATCCTGCATACATCAACAATACTCGAAGTATTGATAATACTATCGAAGAATCCTAATACAATGATTTGATAACATAATCAGAGGTGTCTAAGTATCTATATAAATGCATGCTCAATCTTGTAACCCAAAACGTTCGCTTCCTATTAATCTTTGTGTAAATATTATCCCACGGGATAAGAAAAGCTTGAAATACTTATCCTGGAAGTCCCTATCGAGTACTTATACAATTATTTGCTCAGTTTTATCGCGATGATTCTTATGAATACACGTCTGGACTTTGTTGTGACAGATAATGTATACCCACCACCAACTATTATAAATATAGTCGAATTCCGAGTTAAATATTTTTTATTTAACACGGTGCTGAAGGGGACTACTGCATTTTATTTCGTTTGTCAACATCTAGACCATACCTAAGCTGATTGTACTGGCCCAGGTTTACACGAAACGTTTGGGTAAACAAGATAAAGTTTGTGTGCGAGTTAAATTCAATGTCAGTTCGACATTGTTGGTAAATAGTAAAGTTGGAAGAGATACGGTAACAAAGACTGCAATTTATCTTGCGCAAAGGCTGCCGCTTTCCGTGACTGGGTGACTTTGGTGGGGGGAATTACTAAAACAAACAAAACTTCCAGTGTAACTTAATATATGTCTTTATTTTAGTTGTAGACGTGATGTGGTAATTGCATACTTAAGCTAAAACTATTTTTTTGTATATAACATTAGCTAAAACCATAAAAAAGTTCAACTATTATTAAAATTGTTCAAAATCATGCAGTAAATAAGTACGTTGTTAATCTTTCTCTTCTACTATTTTCAAAACAAATTTCTGTGTCTCCTATTGCATATCCACGATTAATCATCAATTATAATTTAGATGGAAGCATACCTACCCCTCAATCTGAATTTGAGAACAAGTTAAGAAAGGGATCTCTGTACCTATTCTATAAAAGGGTATCTCTTTAATGAAACAATGTAAGAGCAATTATAATTTACTAATCTAATGAACGTACAATCTGAATCCCACATCACTGTTAAAATTACATTGAGGGGTGGCAAACTCAATTTAAGCACAGGATCCCCAAAACTGGATGAAGTAGATAACATCAGTATGTAACGCATATCAGCATTTAACACATAACATAATTTGTTCCCTTCTTTATTACAATATTAGAAATTAGTTATAACAAATTATTTTTTTTATTAAAAAGTGACTTTGATAAATGATAAGAAATACGGTAGAATTTCCTCGAGGGTCGGAAAAATATTTAATATTAGCAAACGCCAACCTGTAATGTTGGTTGGGCATAGCTTTAGATCAGGATTGGTTACATATTCCCCCTCGAAAACAATATATCATACTACTAGTATATTTATTGAAAAATATGATTATACCGATACTCTTCTGGAATACAGATTAGGATTATTTCGAAAGAAAATATATTTCATACGCGCCGGAGCTCTATATTGCTATATATTTTTCTCATAATTTATGGACGTTCTCTAGGGGACAATTAAAACAAATTTATTTTTAACAATAAACGAGATCGAACAATATTTTCGGGTACAGTTAACCTACAACCCTAGCGGATATAGAATATACAGGGTGTTTGTAAATAAGTGCGAAATATTTTAAAGGGTGGTTGCCGAAGTTATTTTGAGAAAAAAGTTCATATAAACATAGATCGAAGTATGCTTCGTTTCCGAGATAAAGTTTAAATTTTAATTTTTTATTTATTTTTATTAATTATTTCGAAGGGTTTTAAAGATGTCGATTCGAAATTTGAAAAACGCTTTGGAAGAATAAATGTGCATTTTTTGGGTCGATCCGAATATTTCTACTTGCATCAGTGGCGTTCGTGCGAGAATGCCACTATCTTTTTTAATAAAAAAATGGTACGCCACTGACTTTTTCCCGTTTTGATATTTTTTCAGAAATCCGCCATCAATTCTGAATGAAATTGGTCTCTTCAATTTTTTTCGTATGATGCACCGTTTTAGAGGCAAAAAATAAAATATATTTTATTGTAGGTTTTGTTAATCTTTTATTAAAAGGTGCAAGTAGAAATATTCGATCACCCCAAAAAATGCACATTTATCCCTCCAAACCGTTTTTTAAATTTCGAGTCAATATCTTTAAAACTGAACTAATTAATAAAAATAAATAAAATCTCCAAAAACGATGCATACTTCGACCTATGTTTATAGGAACTCTTTTTCACAAAACAGCTTCGGCAACCACCCCCTAAAATATTTCGCACTTATTTACAAACACCCTGTATATGAGCAAAATTCAGCAAAAAGATAGAAGATAGAATATTGTTTTGCGAAGACAAAACAAAGCAACATAATGTAGGCATTGGACTTCCTTAAATACAGATTACGTTTCTCAAAAGAGCAAAAACCAAATAATTCTTTATGCTAAACAAAACTTATTTTATTTCACAGCATCTCTAAACGTAGTCTACATACAGCGCTATTCAAAAGTTTACAACATATATATTATTTAATAAATTCCTTCGATTGTCAGTTGTCTCTGCGTGTCGTCAAATCGTAATAGCGACCATCGAACTTCATAAAACGTTTGTTATATACGAGGGGCAGACGAAAACTGCAAATCCGATCAAGAGTAAAGTA